CATTCCCACGCCCAATCACAGTTGGGCAGCACGTAGTGCCAGTTAAATAACTCTTAATGAGTTTCTAATTAATTTCTATACTCTATAGTCACTGAAGTGGAGAAGGGTAACAAAGTTATCTGTAAATTTATGTAACAAACTAAAGATGATGTCTATGGGAAATATCAATAGAAAAGTCATGCTCGTATATATTTTATTGCTTTCTATTGATCATTATTTTATATTTGACAATAAATCAAACTTATGAGATTTGGTATATATAATATCATTTTCAGTTTAGCTAACGTGTTTTTTAAAGGGTATTTTGAATTCGTTTTACAGCCCTTCTCCACATTGCTTAGGTCCATTTTACTGCCCAGCAAGTGCAGTGAACTCTGTCAGCGCTTCGTGTTATTCTCAACTGACCAAGTGAGAAATCAAATGGGGAACGTGATAGAACGAGCGACCTATTATCGTGGTGTCAATGCCAAATTGAGTTGAATTGAAGCGCGGTGCGCAGTGCGCACCCGCCCTCATGAAGTACCGGATTCATAACTCATGTGCTCATGAGTGCTCATGTGTGCGCGTGTGTCTATGTTGCATATGCAACAATCTACATTACGATCAACAACTGCAACTTGTTGCAATAGCTGCTATGAGGGTCAGAGTCAAAGTTCAATAAAATCCAATTAAACTAGCGCAGCGCCTGGCCCCAGCTCAGCCCCAGCCTATGTCGCTGGCTTCTCGTCCCTTGCCCCTTGCCCCTTGCTCCCTTTGCCCCTTTTACTTTGCTATTTTTAGCATATTTATTGCACTGCACAAAAAGGGGGTCAACTATGCGGTTACCAGAGGTCAATTTATGTCTTGTTATTTCCTTGCATATTAAACCCCGCCCTTTACCCCCTTGCTGCCGACTTTTTATGAGAGTTACTTCCGGCGACGACGACGACGACGACTCTGGGGCGGCAGTTAAGTGTTCTTGAATTCTGGAATTCTGTAATTCTTCTGCTAGCGAGTGGCTCACATTTTCTGCCATGCGTCATAGTTGAATGTTTTAAGAGCTGTTTAAGTGAGTGGAGTGAGTGGACTGAGGTCGTCTGAGCATGAGTAACATACATTTTGCTGCGCTCATCACATAATTTACTTAAATTCGGGTTATACTTTCGGTCATAAAGTGAAAAGTACGTGACATCTAACTAACAACTGTTGGCGAGTTTTATGGAAATTGTCTCTTTTTATACCCTGAACCCATTGAAAATGGGAAATCAGGGTATAATGGTTTTGTGAAAAGTATGTAACAGGCAGAAGGAATCATCGCAGACCCCATAAAGTATATATATTCTTGATCAGGACGACGAGCTGAGTCGATATAGCCCTGTCCGTCTGTCCGTCCGTCCGTCCGTCCGTCCGTCCGTCCGTCCGTATGAGCAAAAGAATCTCAGAAGATATAAGAGCTAGAGAGCTGAAATTTGGCATGCATACTCGTGTATACCATAGGCAGTACAAGTTTGCTTTATTTTTTCGATAACTCGTCCGATAACTTTTTTATCGAGAATAATCGAAAAATCGACTTGGTTTTTTCAGCCTAGTTTGAACACTTTTAGACCAAGAGACTTCAAATTTGGGTTGTATATAAAATTAATGGATACAAAGATTTTGTAATTTACAGATTTTGGATACCACGCCCCCTTTCCCCCCAATTTGTAAAAAACGCATTTCAAGTACTAGAGACTTGTGCTTTGGAATGTACACATATTTTAACCATATGATTACGCTCTGAAAGTTTCATTAAGATCGTATGTCTACAAAAGAAATTATTCAACAAATAAATTCTCATAATATTGCCCACATTGCAGCGCAGCCCAAGCGCAGTCGCTGCTAACTGCGCAGTTAGCAGAGCGCGTGCTTATTTGTGCATGTGTATGTATGTGTGCATAAAAGAAGTTCAGACTGATTAGAATATCAGCTTGGAGGGTTCAGGGTATCTCCTAGTCGAGCTGTCTCGACTGGAGCCTTCTTACTTGTTTATTATATTTTATTAAGAGGAGTCTCTTAAGATAAACGCAACTTTACAGATCTAATACTTCCGAAAGTAATAATCCAGTAATACAAAAAAATGTTACTACAGCAGCAGTAAATAAATAAAGTGTGAAAATTACATGCTAGATATACCCTAGAATAATATTTGTTTTTCTGCCTATTGAATTTTCACTATCGTCGGGAATACTTTATATTTATAGCTTATATAATTTTGAATATAACAAATATGTTAAGAATTTTATTAAAATCGTTCACTTTGAATTTCAGTGCAGTTAAACTTATAAAATTCTACAGATATTCATTCAGTATTCTAAATCTAAATAATTCAATGTACTCAAACTTCAACTATCCTATGAGTTATAGCTGTATGCACATACAGATATATGTATATGCAACTCGTTATTTGTAGACTTCAAACCATTTACTATGCCAAGCACTCGTCTCTCCTTAGCCATCATCTAATCGGCGTAATCCTTTCAAAGTCTTCAGTGGCTGCTTTGTCATCCATCACTTGCTGCAGGCAGCTCGTAGAGAACACACTACAACAGCGCACTACAGCTAAGGCTACACCTACACACTGCACACTCAATTGTGTTGCAATATTTAAATTTGGACTCAACGTCTGCTTGAACTCGACTCCCCACTCGAGAAAGTTGCATGCCCCGTTGCTGGTGCCTGGGCTGGCTTTTGAAACACTATCACAATAACACATCATTTGTCAGGCAAACAAATGATGTTGCATGTAACCTTATCATCTCATATCCGCCGCAGACAGCGGCCGGTGTGCCTGTGTGTGGTGTAAGCTGTCTAAGGTCAAGCGCTAAGGTTAGACACATTGGCAGAGAGAAAGCCACGACACAATGCAGAGTGTCAAGTGGACGGACAGCGGACGAAGACAGACCTTAGACGCTGTTCTAGTGGACACTAGCACCAGAAGCAGCAGCTGCAGGACATGCAGGCGACACAAGGAGCTGCCTGCCTCGACAATGGCTGCTAATGAATAAACATGGCGTCGACTACACTTCCGCTTTGGATTAATATACTCTATTTGTCAAAGTGTAGTTGGATTTACTAACAAATTCAGTGAGCTATGATGGAGTATGCGCATAAATAGAAAGTTCATTGTGCATTATTGTGGAGTAATTTCTCAATTTGTGCTTGTGTGAGGGTTAAGTTGCCTATATCATAAAAAATACAGCTTAGTTTTGAAATGATGTTTAATAATAATATATGTTAAAGAGAAAGATCTAGTTGACTTATAGAACATACATATATGTATGTGTAAAATGCATGAATACGAAAATAAAACGCTTACAATTTTATATATAAACTATTTCAATTTTATGTATTTGTTTCTGTCAATTCGTGAAAGTGAAATCTAATTTTAGTGTTTTACAACTGAGTCTAATTACATTTAACAAAATTGTATTTGCTTTCTTTACTTATTTAATTTATTGTCTTTTATTTAATATTCAGCTGAATATTAAATAATCTAACAGTAATTATTTAAAGTATCTTTTAAGCCTACACTTCAACAAAACCTCTCCATATCAAATTTGCTTTATCATTCGATTTGATCAGCTATAGAGTTTTATTACTAAGAGTATGGACTCTTCGAATTGCGCAAATGTTCTTGCTCTCATCTGTTATTTTTTACGCTTGCAAGCTACGTATACGCCATGTGTTTTGGCTGCGATGAAGTTTTGCGCAAACAAGCAACAAATTTATTGGGACAACCACATCGAGTGTCCCATGGCGCATGGCGCGTACAATGTTTCGACTCCACTTTTCATGTATTCCCCAGTCTGAAGTGGACAGCGGCGGGTCTGTCTCTCTGTCTGCCGGTCTGTGTCTGCGGTGCTGACATTGACGCGTCTAATGATCAGCCTCGTCGTCAGCTGTCACGCCCCCTGCCATAAAGCCCACAAAGCGGACAAATGAATTGTTTTTGGGGGTTATTCGATGCGGTGTCTTTACATCTTTCGGCCAGGCTTTGTTTATACCATTTAAGCTTTTAATGGCAACCACCACACCAACTGTTGGCAAATGGAACAGGAGCCGACCAAGCGAACTTCCGTCGGAGCCGCAGTCTGTTGGTCTTCAAAGGGGGGCGTACATTACTCATGGACTATGTGCCGCTCGTTGCCAGAGGCATTTAACCAAACCAAGTTTACTAAACGCACTGTCAGCAACAGCGCTGTCTATTAAGGATGCTTAGTTAAGATATTTTCGTTTCGCAGACGAGTTCAATAGTATTTGTTTTGATGGCGTTCGGCAGCTGATAAAATGAAACTTTGTGCCACAAAACTTCGGCTGTAAGTTGAAGGGCAAAGTTTTCACATGTGCACATGAGGCGTAGTGGCTGCGAGAAGTTCTCGCACACGTGTCCTCACCTAACGAAACATATTGTTTCAAATGGAGACTGATGAGAAGTCATGGGTAGATATTTGTCATGAAATAAAATTCGTATATATTTTATAATAGTTATGAACAAACTAAAGTGGCTTAGAATTTTTCTTTTATTAAATTTAATTTACTAAAATTGTAATTAAATGACCAATATCTGATTCAGTATTTTTCTAATTTAAAAATCTCTGGCACACTTTTTATAATAATCGTTTCTAATTCCAAATATTTTCTCGATTGAAAAAGACAATTTAAGGAAAACAACTTTAGTTCAATGATTCAACAAAAGTTATCTTCAAAACCTAATGCAGGTCATACGAACTATTCCGTAATTATTGAGCAATACTAATTTCATTATAATAAGGTTTACAATGGGAATGGTGTACTTCTTGACTTGGAATCACAGATGTGCTTAAAATATCAAAGATTATTTTCTCAGAAGAAATCTATTCTATCGAAAATAGATAGTGCTTAATAATTGGTTCAAAAGACCAGTCTATCTATTATTAAAAAAAAAAAATAACGGTAATAAATACACTTTCTAATCTCCATCAACGTTTTTCTCTCTCTTTCAGAATTTTCCTCAAAACTTTGGGCACAATATAGAGAACAAAAGATGAGCAGACGACGAAGTACAATCATGGGCAGCAGAAGCTGTCGGAGCAATTGTCCATTGACAGGCATTGCCTGTGTGATGGCCCTGCTGCAGCTGGTGACACCCGGCCAGGGACACACACATCCTGTGCTCACATACAAGAATGCTTCGACGCAGCTGGGCCAGCTGGTCACGTCGAGCACTCTGGTCTGGGAGACGTACGATCCGAAGGACTCCAAGCAAATGCAGTCGGCTGTCGAGGGCGGCAAATACATCTCGGATGAGGAGCACTATCCCATCTATGTGTGCCGCGTGACCATCGATGGAGTGCGCACCTCTGGCCACACCGAGAAGAAGCAGCAGCGGCACGTCTGCGTTGCAGCGCTCTTCAAGCACGCCATCAATGAGAACTTTGATGTGCTGATGAATCGTGGACACCTGGGCAAGATCGCTTGGAAACATTGGACGAAGTTCAATGCGGGCATCCCGGTCGGCGCCATTCTCATTGGCGATGAGTCCTACATAGCGCGCCATCGTGCAGTGCATCCGCCGAATGCTGAGGGCGGCGAATCGCATCGCGGTGCGGACTACAATTTGGGACGACTGGAGCCCGTAGGTCTGGGCAAGATCAAGGTGGCGGAGAACGATCGGGAAAAGTACTATGACGATGGCGAAGTACTTGTGGAAACGGAGCCCTTCAGTTATGAGCTGCGAGACATCAAGCTGGACCGCCTGCGCACCAGCCTGCGCGAGAATATGACAGAGCTGGGTGAGTAGAGAGAGATTTACAGTGACCAAAGTATAACCTAACTAAAATGGATTCTATTCCTCTTTATAGCCAGCAGCGTACTGGAGAACCGAGGCGACACTTACGCCACTATGGAGAAGATAATTAGCTACAGCTTTGACTATCTGCAGTACTGGGGCTCGCATGAGGGCGTGGCCAAGGGCCTGCCCACCAAGATCTACGAGAAGAATGTGGCCACGCCCGCCGAAATCAATTGGGCTCTGAAACGTAGTGAGAAGCGGCACGAGAATAAGGCCGTGTTTAGCAAGCTCTGGCCAGGCACGGCCATCAATGTGACGCTGCTCGGCAACTATGTGACTCTGGAGGCGCCCTACACCGCAAAGCTGTCCGCCTTCTACTACGACAGCGAAAGCGTTTCGCGCAAAATCAGCGCCGAGGTGAGTGTGCCAGCATACCTTTACGAATTCCGTTAATCTGGTACTTCCTTTGCAGGTGCGCAAGAGCTATTTGAAGGATGTGAAGATGGAATTTAGTCCGGTTTATTGGATCGAGAATGGCACGCTGGTGCCAACGACCACCACCACGTCAACCACATCGACTACGACACATGCGACCACAACCAGCACCAACGAGCCCACGCCCATACATGAGCCGCCCATGGTGCGCGTCGAGCATGTGGGCGATAAGCATTCCGGACCCGATTCGCTGGAGAAAACTTTGAACGATTCAACCTCAACGAATGAGGTCAACTCACATGAAGCGCCAGAGAACATGTCCTCCAAGGATGCAGCGCTCGCTGGCTTTGGAGTGGGTGGCAGCAACAACGCGATAGCTACAATACAGGCGACAGGATATTCAGTGCTGGCGGTCGTCTCGATAATGCTGTTAAATCTGTAGATGGGCTTTGGGAGGGTCTCCCTCAATTAGCATAGCGTTTAATTGTTGTTGTTGTACCTGTTGTACCCGTCTTTGAGAGCGTGTCGTGTCTCGTGAGCATATGTAGAAGACACCGGCCCCAAAATGGAAAGATAGGCAGACATAATTAATAATTGATATATAGGACGCCACAAACGAACAAAGAACGAGACGATAACCGGTTAGCTTTCTGTGTGGGTGTTCAGTGGATATTAGAGGCGAACAAAAGTTGATATTTTTATACTGTCCCCCAATGCCTGCTTTTTCTTCTATATATATATTAATATATATGGATATACATATATGTATGTACCGTAGCGAAAACAAATTTTAAGAGAGAAACACAAAACATTCCTAAACTAGCCCCTCACAAAAGGAAATGAATCAAAAGTAAATTTACATTTATATATATAGTATATATATCTTGAATACCGATAAACCATATTTAACATTTTTAAAGCTGCTTTGCATAGTTCTTTTTTTTTTTTTTTTTTTTGTCTAATTTTCTGGCTTTTTTAGATATTAGTTTGTTAAGCGCAAAAGCATTCACAATAAGCTGTAGTAAAAGTAAATGAATTAATTGATTGGGCGCCTAATATAGAATTGCTATAAAGATATGTACGTTCTATGATATGATGTATATGTATATGTCTAAAATGTAAAATCTATGTAAAACATAAGTAATATATATATATAATAATATATATATACATTTAAGTGAAAACACTCCAAATATGTAAATTAATTACTACTTTTATTTTGTTTGTCTGTGTCCTGCGTCTGCCCTAACCTGATACTCCCTACTCTTCAGCTTTATTTTGCTCGAATTCTTTATCCTAGTTTAACATACGCATGTATCTTGTATTTTGTTTTCGAATAAGCAAAGAATCTCCCAAAATAATTTTACAATTTTTTTTAAAGTAAACAAAAACAAAATAAAAACAAATAAAGCTTGTAAATTAAAATTATTTGAAAACCTGTGTCGATTAATATACTTTTACCGATTGGCAGTTATTAATTAATTTATGGAAACACTTGCGTTTACTATAAGTTAAATTACAATTTTGTGTATATATTGTCTATTTAAATTTGAATATTTTTTCAAACCCGAGTTGCGTCTCTTAGGCATTTAAATTCTACACTTTCAACCTGAGTTTAAGCCCCAGCACTCACTTTGCCTATACCCAATATTTATTTGACTTGTTCTCAATCTTGTCTGAATTGAAATTAATTTTAAAATATTCTATAAACAAGTTTATTTCAAGTCAGCTGATCAAATTGCTGTCGATGCGATATAATTTGATACGATATGTTCATGTGCTGTGTAAACATTTGCTTGCCTTGTACTTCAAAATGTTTACATAACTTGACATTCATTAGTTAAATGTAGCTGATGGATGGGTTTTGTTTTCTGTTTTCCTTATGGAAGTCGCCTCTAACACGATAGAGGCTGTCGGCTACATGTGAAGTAAATGCTTAGCCCAAGGCTAATTCTAATAAACTATCAAACTGTGGGAAAGGAAGTCGGTTTAAATCATCATCAAATTCAATTAATACTACGTTTAGATATTTCTCTGCACTTGAATACCCTCTGTGTCTGTTGGCAGTAAACTTGTTTAATTGTAATTAGTTATTTTATTGTCTTAACTTAGGCATTCTTGAGGCGGGCCTTTAACGAGACCTCAATATACACCTCAAATGGTTTCTTTAGGCACCATATAAATCGTTTCTAATTATCGCTATGATATATGCTTGACACAGCGCGTCATTAGGCACACATTTATTACCCAATTACAACACCTGCAATTCTAGATTTATTTTTCAATACACTTCATGTAGTGAACAAGGTATATTTAGTTTGTAATTTAATTTGTAACAATATCGATACTAACAAATTTATTACAGTTCTTGTTGATCAATGCCAAATCTCTGTCTAAAAATCTTAATGTACTAGCCAATGACTTTATGACCTTTCAAATATAATTTTAAATTCTTTGCGTAGTTCAATATTGCATTATTATATTAGACTTGATATGAGCATTAAAATACTTCTTATTTATTATTTTGGCCAACCTATTTCAGAAAACTAAATAAGACTGCAGTCGGTTTTAATTACTTGATGAAACTGAAATTCTGAAATTCTGAAAGCAGTGCATTCGCCTTTCGGTTAGACCCGTCCTTATGTCATTTGTTCACTTATTTTTCTATTGTTTATAGCTTCTGTTAGCCAATTACAGCAAACGCTTTGACAGTTAGACAACATAACAATGGGATAAAGCACGTTGATATGCTGTAGATAAACAACCAGATGTCATCTATTAGTCATCGGCTTCTTGGCCAAGTTCGGGGCTCGGGCCTCAAAAGATATTGCGGACCGGCTTTCAAGAGCCGCTAATTAGCTGCTTTTGTGAATTTAAATAACAAATTAGCGAATGGAACTGCCATGCAGTCTGGCTAGGGTCTCTCGATTATAATGCAAAGCGCGTTCCGATAATGATATATACGCTTGCTATATGTGTGTCTGCGTGTGTGCGTGCACCTATACTTATCGTGTCTATTACCACGATTTTTTATTACACATCTGTTCAGGTGTCGGTTAGGTTCAGGTTAACAACAAAAGGTCTACCGAAAAAGCGGTTTTATTTTTTATTGTTGTTGCTTTGTAATTTTATTTTAAATTGGAATTTGCGTTAGTTGTTTTTGTTTCTGGCTTGTTTATATACATATTTCTGTTAGAGTATTGTGATATATATTTTTAAAGCGTGACCACATGAAGTTGTTTTGCTTTAAACGGGTTCCCAGCTGATGCCAATTGAATTGCTGGCATTGTTAGCAATTGGGCGTGGCAGCCGCCCAATCTTTTGGCTCTTATGGCTTTGAGCTGCGGGGCACGTTTGTGCGTGTTGCGCCAATTTTATATATATATAATTTTTTTTTTCCTTCGTTTTTGGGGCGGCGGTCGAGTTGATTAACCCCTGAACTCGTGCTGCGATTCGAGCAGTGGCTTTCGGCTCATTATGCGGTCGATGTATGTGGCAAATGGCAATTGGAATTTGATATATGCTCAATTTGAGTTGGATCGTTGATGTGCTAAATGATGATGATAGTATCAATGGAATAGCATGGCTTACAGATTGTTTAGAGTAGCATCAGCTGTTGTCTAATACCTTTGGCTGGTCAATTAAATCAAATAAACTGAGAAGTCTTTAAAGTTTTGTTGTGCATGAGAAATTATTGCCGTAAAGTATCAATGCATATACGACGTAATTGAGATATAGTCTAAAAGACTTTTACGAAATATATTTTTAAAACAAAATTGTCTTTAAATTACCTTGAAATGTATAAATTTATATGAAAATATTTAGTTTCACTTAATGTTTACTCTGTTTATTTTATTTTATTTATCTCTTTTAACTTATACCAATACAATGAATCAAAATATTGAATATCTCTTCTTCTTTATATTCATTGATTTATTAATAAATATTCTACTTCAAACTTGCTAAATCTGTATCACTTTTCTATTATTTTTGATATATATTTTCTTCTGTATTCCACTCCATACATTACTAAATGATTTGAATTGTTATTTCTTTCAATTTCATCATATTATCTACTCTGTTTCCAACAGATTGAGGAAGTTGTTTAGCTAACACACTTTAATATTACTTCATTTAAATTTGTAAATTTTGATAATAAATTTAATTTATTAAAAATGACATAAATTGCTTAAATCATTTTGCCTTTAGCAAAATATACCTTAATCCCCTGGTCATTTAATCTATTTTTATATCAATTGATTTGCTGTGTTTTGTCCAAATTGCAAATCAAAATTAATTGCAGCATATGAAAGCCCGGCCGCCAATTAGCTAGCAATCAAATTAAAATATGCGTTTGTTGTGGCTAAAGTTGTTTACATATGTGTGTGTATATATTATTTTTGTTTTTTGAGTATTCGCATAAATTGAAAAGTATTTTCCGCTCATTTATCGCTGCGAATTAATCTGCATATGCTTAGCATGCATTACCCTCGATGAGGATGAGGTGCATCTATCCTGAATTGTTCGTCGCGCTGCTTGGCTGGCTTTGGTCTAACCAAATTTTATGCATCGCCACGCTGAAACAAAAACCGAACTGCAACCCTTTGTTTTTTCACGGCTCTGGCTTTGGCTTTGCCTTTGGCTTTGACGTGTGTTAACTGAATTTTTTAACCGGCCGGCTTTGCAGGCCGCCAACCTGTGTCGAGGCTATCGGTGTGCAATCTGTTAACTGCATTCAGCCGTGACAATTGCCTGAGGTGAACCACTCTCCCTCTCCATCTCTGTATGTGTATGTGTATGAGGGTGTGCAAGTGTATGTGTGTGCACATGAATATCAATACGAACTGCACTTTGCACAATTTACGTGCAGCTTCGTTGACGCTGTTTACGCTTCATAATTTGTTTGACATGCCCAGTACTTGCAATAGAGACAAGGGGGTATGACCGACTATACTACACTATACTATATGTATGATTCTAATGAATTAATTTCTCAAACATTCCTGATTTGTAATGGAGCTTCTCGAAAATAAAATATTTTTATAAGAGGAAGCACAACATATGTATATATACATACATACATTCATAATTCTTCTCAAATTTGTATACTAAACTTTCTCACACCAACTCGTAACTAACTACAGGGTACAGGGCCAGTCAATCATTCTCCACTGATCCAGTCTTACTCTATTCGTCATTTGCATTAGCTGACATAGTGTAACCCTTTCGCTTACCTTAGGGGTAGCATATGTGACAGGGGTACGACTTTTATTGCAGGGGATAATGAATTCGGGATATTTATTGCTTGCGGGATTACGTTGACAGCGATTGTGAGGCATTTGATACGCTCACTGGCATCAAGAAACATAACAGATGTATTTTTATTCCCAATAAATTCAAGCTTAGCACATCTTCTAAAAGACTTTATTTGGCATCTGCTGAAGCTGAACTGGCCGTTGTTCTGGGGATAGTTGACCCACCTCTGTTGTAGATTAGCGGACCACCGCGTTGGCCAGAATTATAACTGCCCTGAGCCCCCGAGCTGCTTGTTCCTTGGGCGGCTGAGGCCAACAGACCAATTATAATTACAAATATTATTGCGAAACGCATATTCCTTGCTTCAACCCACAGAGCGAAACTGACTGCTGATCTACGGTTTCTACTGGAATTTATACACTACACGGGAACTAATAAAAAGTACCCAGCAGCTGCAAACGTCATAGTCTATTATTGGTTTTGTTTGTCGCAATTAACTATTTCTATTTCAATTCTATTTTTATTGATAAAAAGCCAAGTTGATTTTCAAGAAAACACGTCATATGTCAAAAAGTACCGCTTAAGAACATAAATGAGAAATAATCAAAAAATAACTAAACGTATTTTATTGTATTTTTAAAATAAACATATTTACAGTAAATTAAAAAGTATTTCAGATATTACCAAAAAACTTGATAATTGAATGTGATGCTATGAATCCATTGCGAGCCCATAAATCAAACATAATACATCTTGAGAACACGTAATAAATATATATATACATGTCAAAATAATCTAATTCGTATTGTATTTTATGATTGATGTAAAGTCAAATAACATTTCCAATTGTATTACTTGAAGAGTTCACAAATAAATTCAATTTCAAATGTCATTATTTTGTGGTATTTACTGTAACGTATTCAGCGAAAATCGAACTTCGACTAGTTAACAGTCTCTAAAGAACTAAATTAATATTAATTTGACTAAGGAAAAGTTTTCTATTGCATTATGCCAGCAGTACTGTCCTTCATGTAACTTCTCTGGCGTACCACGGTGCGTATGAGCTCTTCGAATTTCGTTTGTAATTGAGCGCCGAGCGTTGCGCAAGTGCTCTGACTGGGTTGCTCAACTAACGGTACCTCAGAGAGCCATCGGCATATGGATAAATAAGCTCGCCCGAGAATTGTAACCGCACGCTCTTCGCATGGCCGCAGAGAGCAATGCACAGTGGGCTGAGACCGAATGTTGTGTAGTGAAAAAGGGAGAGAGAGGTAGAGTGTAATATTAAATGGAAGTGAAATTGAATATAATAGAGTATATATATTTATTATTATTATTTATTTATTAGATAATATAAAAAATATAAATCTAAAAATTATTAAACGTGCTAGCTACGAGGGCCATCGACGTGAATGTTGGAAGCTAAATTCGATGAAAAATATTACAAAGATTTATACACTTAACAATTAAATATATATATTTATTTAAAAAAGGATTATATTATATCAAAAATATTATATTTTATTATTATTATTTTTTTTTTTTTTAGATATGATTAAAATATTTAAGTTTATACAGTATCTATATATGTTTGGGTCAAAGCTAAGACCTTAAGCTTATGTCTGTCTTGATTGATAGATATATACTCAAATTATTTGCATCGTCTTGATTTATATTCAGAGAATTTTTTTGCTTCCACTGTGCTGCACGTTTGCCCTCAATATGCCAACAAGTTACATTCGGCTAGCAAGTTGTGATGACGTCATTCCACTCATAAGCTGCCCACAAGCAGGCCATGCACACACACATACCTACGCACTCTTACAGTTATTGTAAGGGGCGCGAAAGTATGCCGCCTGCAACTAGCAACAGTTGCTGCTGGAACTTTTATCCGCTTTTCCTGGCGCTCGGCTCACGTTACCAGGCCCGAGAGAGCAATAGCGAGCCGTATGCCGAGCAACCGGAGCCGAGCGTACCGTTATCCGGGCCGTATAAAAAGCCAACTGTGCTGGCTGCAGGACACAGTCAAACGAAAGACTTGCCTGCGAACGTGTCTGGGAAGCATCTGAAGCAGAGGCCGCAAAGAGACTTATTGTCCGTTAGATTTTGAAACAGTTTGAGAGTGACTGCGCACAGTGGTGCAAAGTGCTAATCCAATTCGATTTGTGACCGCGTGAAGTTCGCGTTTTGTGTGGAAGTTCGAAA